CTATAGTCTTGGCTACTCGGGAGACCAAGGCAGTAGGATTTCTTAATTCCAGAAGTTCAAAGCTACAGTAAACTATTACTATGATCACACTACTGTACTCCAGTTTGGGCAACAGAGTTAAAACATGTCAAAAAATGAAAGCGAAATGCTGACTGAATTTTTACTAAAAAGGAGAAACAAAGCCAACAATTTCTATTCAGCATTTACTTTAAAAACTATTGACACACAACAAATGAAATGGTCTGGACTACCCCCTCTAAAAATATATATATGTATGCAAATATATATATATTTACATATGCAATGGCCATTTTATACACACACAACACACACTCACACACATACACACACATATAATGGCCGTAAAAACAAGCAAATATTTAAAGGCATAAAAATACAGAAAAGCAAAAAATCACTTTAGATGACAAAATTATTTGTTAGAAAATTCCAAATTGGCCAAGTGCAGCAGCTCACACCTGTAATCCCAGCTACTCGGGAGGCTGAGGCAAGAAAATCGCTTGAACCTGGGAGACAGAGGCTTCTGTGAGCCGAGATAGCACCACTGCACTCCAGCCCGGGTGATGGACCAAGACTCTTTCTCAGCCCAGAGCAGCGGCTCACGCCTGTAATCCCAGCGCTTTGGGAGGCCGAGGCAGATGGATCACAAGGTCAGGAGTTCAAACCTGCCTGCCAAGATGTTGAAACCCCATCTCTACTAAAAATACAAAAATTAGCTGGGCGCGGTGGCACGTACCTGTAATCCCAGCTACTTAGGAGTTGGAGGCAAGAGAATCGCTTGAACCTGGGAAGTGGAGGTTGCAGTGAGCCGAGATCTCACCATTGCACTCCAGCTGGGGTGACAGAGTGAGACTCTGTCTCAAAAAAAAAAAAAAAAAAAAGACTCTTTCTCGGAAAAAAAAAAAAAAAAGAAAAAGAAAAAGAAAATCCCATGTGATAAATCAGGTGACAAACTGTACAATACAAACTCTTCAAATATTAATTGCATTACTACAGACTAGTGATATTATGAAAAATATTCATGGCTGGGCACGGTGGCTCACACCTGTAAATCCCAGCACTTTGGGAGGCCAAGGCAGGCGGATCACAAGGCTAGGAGTTCAAGACCAGTCTAGCCAATATAGTGAAACCCTGTCTCTACTAAAAATATAAAAATTAGCCAGGCATGGTGGCATGCGCCTGTAGTCCCAGCTACTTGGGAGGCTGAGACAGGAGAATCACTTGAACCCGGGAGGCAAAGGCTGCAGTGAGCCAAGATCGGGCCACTGCACTCCAGCCTGGGCAACAGGGTTAGATTCCATCTCAAAAAAAAAAAAAAAAATTCATTTAAGAAACTAAAAAAAGGCTGGGTGCTATAGCTCATGCCTGTAATACCAGCACTTTGGGAGGTCAAAGCAAGAGGATCACTTGAGGCCAGGAGTTTGACGATAGCTTGAGTAACATAGCGAGACCTCCTCTCTAACAAAAAAAGAAAAAAGAAAAAAAATCAGCCAGGCATGGTGGTACATGCCTCTAGTCCCAGCTACTTGGGAGGCTGAGGCAGGAGGATCACTTGAGACTGGAAGGCTGAGGCTGCAGGAAGTGGTGATTATTTTTTTTAAACATTTTTATGCTATTTTATGCTTTTTTTTTTTTTTAAATAAAGATGGGGTTTCACCATGATGGCCAGGCTGGTCTTGACCTCCTGACCTCAGGTGATCCACCCACCTCGACCTCCCAAAGTGCTAGGATTACTGGTGTGAGTGACTGCACCTGGCCTATTATGTGTTATTTTTAAGCATTTTTATGCTATCTTAATACAGTTCATAATGGTATCTAGAAATCACATTAAAATGTTTTTATTTAGTTGCTAGCAACTAAATAAATGCCCCTATACTCCAGCTTAGGCAACAGAGTTAGCTCCTGCCTCAAAACAAACAAGTAAAAATGTAATATGGAAAAATGTATGCGGCCTTGCTAGCAACTAAATAAATGCCCCTGTACTCCAGCCTAGGCAACAGAGTTAGATCCTGTCTCAAAACAAACAAGCAAAAATGTAAAATAGAAAATACATGCAGCCTTGCTAGCAACTAAATAAATATATTTTAATGTGATTTCTAGACACCATTATGAACTGTATTAAAATAGCATTAAAATGCTTAAAAAAATAAAACTGGCAAAAATGATGGATTACAAACATACTTTTATAGTACTAATGGTAGATGCTGCCTTTATAAAGCTTGCAGTCTAACCAATGAAACAGACATTGGTCAAATCATCTGATTCCAAAAATGTTATGATTACAAACTGTGATAGGAGGTACAAAGAATGGCTGGGTGCAGTGGCTCATGCCTGTAATCCCAGCACTTTGGGAGTCAGAGGTGGGTGGATCATTTGAGGTCAGAAGTTCTAGATCAGCCTGACCAACATAGTGAAACACCATCTCTACTAAAAATACAAAAAAATTAGCCAGGTGTGGTGGCACATGCCTGTAGTTCCAGCTACTAGGGAGGCTGAGGCAGAAGAATCTCTTGAACTAGTGGAGTGGAGGTTGCAGAGCCAAGATTGCACCACTGCACTCCAGCCTGGCAACAGAGAGAGACAGTGTCTCAAAAAAATAAAATAAAATAGAGGTACAAAGAAAGTTATTCAAGTCTTTTATCTCCAATTTTACTGTTCTTTCCCCTGTACCAGGAAGCATGTTTCTTTAGACATAAAACGGCTTATTCTCATCTCACTTTGGGCTGGAATGGATGAATTTGCTAGAACTTATTTCAAAACAAAGCAAAAGTGAAAAGGAAAAAAGGTACAAATTAAGAATTACTAAAACTAATTTTCATGTTTCTGAAAAGGCCCGTATCTTCAGGATAGGGCATTACCCTTTACCAACCAAAAAGGTTTGCTTCACATTTCTCTCAACTTTAAACTAATAGATGCTAGGTGAATTTCCATTACACATTCTCTCAACAAAAGGCTGATCAACAAATATTGAGAGAGGAAAAATAATATTCCCACTCATGATGCTCCCAATTTCGGTATAAATTAAATAATTTAAAATCTGCCACTTAGTCTATCTGTCTTCCTAGTCTATAATCGAGATCATTTCCCAAAATAACTTAAAAAAAGAAATCAGAGGTTTTAAACTAGTCTTCAAGATTTAAAATTAAGTCAATCTTTTGTTATATAATTAAATTGCACAGACTTTAGGAAAGAAAATTATTTTAAAATATATACTTAGAGCATAACTACTCAAGTAACAAGATACCAATAAAGCTGTTAAAATTACAAAAAGCTAGGTGCCATGGCACTCACCTGTAGTCCCAGCTACTCAGGACGCCCAGGTAGGAGGACTGCTTGAGACCAGCCTGGGCAACATAGCAAGACCCCATCTCTTAAAAAATTTAAACTATAAGAAACATGTTGTCAGGTGCAATGGATCACACCAGTAATCCTAGCACTTTGGGAGGCCAAGGCAGGTGGATCACTTGAGGTCAGGAGTTCAAAACCAGCCTGGCCAACATGGTGAAACCCCGTCTCTACTGAAAACACAAAAAATTAGAGGGGCATGGTGGTGCATGCCTGTAATCCCAGCTACTTAGGAGACTGAGGCAGGAGAATCACTTGAATCCAGGAGGCAGAGGTTGTAGTGAGCCAAGAACACGCCACTGCACTCCTGCCTGGGCAACGAAGTGAGGCTCTGTCTCAAAAATAATTGATTTAAAATTTTTTAAAAATTAATTATTAAAAAAAGTAAATATGAATTGAAAACTCAGGAACTGGATAGTTCAAGTAGGACAAATAGGAAATTACACAAATTTGTGCTTAACAAGAAGTAGAAGCTCACTTTAAAAGATGCCTCCTTACAGAGAGGCCTAAAAGCAAAAACAGATTAGATTTCCATTTTTAGGAGTTTAGCAAAGAATCAAACATGTTATTACATGTAATTTTATTGCAAAAGTAGCTCATTTCTGCCATGTACAGGAATTATTTCTGGCCAAGTGCGGTGGCTCACACCTGTAATCCCAGCACTTTGGGAGGCCAAGGCGTACAGATCACAAGTTCGACACCAGCCTGACCAACATGGTGAAACCCCGTCTCTACTAAAAATATAAAAACTAGCCAGGTGTGGTGGCGCGTGCCTGTAATCCCAGCTATTTAGGAGGCTGAGGCAGGAGAATTGCTTGAATACAGGAGGCAGATGTTGCAGTGAGCCGAGATTGCGCCACTGCACTCCAGCATGGGCAAGAGCAAGACTCCGTCCCTTAAAAAAAAAAAAAATGGAAGAACTGAGGTTTCCAAGAGCTTTTGAAGATTATAGAATAAAATACCAAAAGAAACAAACACCTTACTCTTATGCCAGTCTATACTTTCTTCTGAAACCTTGCTTTGACTACCTGCTCAAGCTTCATATTAATTTGTGTTAACATGTTTTCCAAAATATTACATCTGTCAGGTATGGAGGCTCATGCCTGTAATCCCAGCACTTTGGGAAGCTGAGGTGGGAGGATGCCTTGCACCCAGGAGTTAGAGTCCAGGTTGGCCAACAAAGCAAGACCCGTCTCTACAAAAAAATTTTTTATTTTTATTTTTTTAGTGAAAGGGAGGTGGAAGCTTCCAGAAATGAAGCAAGAAGCTGCCTTTATGTCTTTAGGAGGAGGCCAAAAAAACTACCTAGGGAAATAGTGACACTAATAATTCTCCTCCCATAAAAGATCACTTTTACTCCTATTTGTTTTTATTAAAAAACAAATTATCTTTTTTTTTTAAAGAAAGAAAAGGAGAGAAAGAGAGGAAGAAAGAGGAAGAAAAAGAGGGAGAGAGAACAGGAATATTGCTTTATTCTAAAAATGGGTATTAATAATGCCCGATCAATATTTTGTGTATTTAAAGTGGAGAATGTATATTTTGTGTATTTAAAGTGGAGAGCTATATAAATATTCATTGTTTACTTGTTCCGGATCTGAGTTCAAAATTTTTAAATAGCCAGGCATAGTAGTGCACACCTGTAGTCCCAGCTACTTGGGAGGTTGAGGTGGGAAGATCTCTTGAGCCTGGGAGGTTCAGCCTACAGTGAGCTATGATCATGCCACTGCACTCCTTGCAACAGAGCAAGACCCTATTTCAAAAAAAAAAAAAAAATTACATCTGACCACTCTAAAGCATCTGACAATGATGACTGTTTCCTTAACAGTCATTAGGATATGATTTGAATCCTCAGTTTCCACTCTCACTTTATTCCTGGTTTTCTTCCTATCCTTCTGTTCATTCCTGTCAGGCTGCAATTTTATCCACTCAATATTTAAATAAGTATTCTCCAATACTTTGCTCTATCTGGGTGCTCTTCGATCTTTCAAATTATCTATCTAACCCGATATCTACATCAACAACCACAGCTTTAGCTCCATGTATTCCAGATCTACATATGGTATATACACTTAGCTACTGAACACACAGTCATCAAATCTTACATGATGTCCTTAAAATGTCAGGAGTCTCCCTACTCCATTCCTACTATCATTTCCTTAGTTCAGGTTCTAATCATTTCTCTCCCTGACACATCAATGAATGACCTCTTCACTAGTCTCATCACTACCAAGCTGAAAACCCTGATATGAAGGTAAACTTTCTAAAAATGAAATGTGACCATCCTGCTCCCCTGCCAAAAATTACTCACTAGGTCTTGTATTATTCATTAGGTTATCTAATTTTTAATAGGTTTTCAGGAAAACATTCAAATTAGCTTACACAGGTAAGTTCCTGCCAGTAACTCTAAGCTTCATCTCCACTATACTGTCTTTGGCTCCAGCCAAACTTCAAAGGCCAGCTCACGTGCATCCTCTGTACGTTCCCTGACTCTGGCATGTCCCACAAATCCTGAATCCAAACTCTGACCTAAGGCATTACTTCATCTAGGAAGTCATGCCTACCCTTTAGGCTAATTTAGATACCTGCTCCAGATGCTCACATAAAATCCTTCTGTATCAATCACTTATTTATAGGTCTCTCCAGTGGCTATTAAGTCTCCAGGGAAACAGTACTTAGTAGTCACTGCACCAGACAAGCAGAAAGCATTCAACAACTGCAGTATCAGGGAATGAATGGGGATTAAATGGGAATTTATATTTTAGTAATGTTATTCTAATGATAATGAACTTGTTCCTTTAACTAGGATAGTCAGTTGTCAAATCCTTTCCAGTCACTGAAATAGCAATAAAAATTTTTCATTTTCTGGCCGGGCATGGTGGCCCACACCTGTAATCCAAGCACTTTGGAGGCCAAGGTGGACGGGTCACCTGAGGTCGGAAGTTCAAGACCAGCCTGACCAACATGGTGAAACCCCATCTTTATTAAAAAAAAATAATAAAATAAATTTTTTTTCCATTTTATAACTGATCCACAGTAACCCAAAGCCCTTATCACTTCAACTCTCTATTCATGAATCAAAAATTGATCTTGTAGCCAAATATAAATTTCCTTAAAGGCATAGGTCTGTCCTTTGTGAAGAAGGTAGGGCAAATGACATACATAACTATGTTACTTAAAAAATAGGTCAGGTGCCGTACCTCATGCCTGTAATCCTGGCACTTTGGGAGGCCAAGGTGGGAGGAGGATTTGAGCCCAGGAGTTCAAGATCTACCTGGGCAACATAGTGAGACCCTGTCTCTATGAAAAAGAAAATAAAATTAGCAGGCATGGTAGCATGCTCCTGTAGTCCCAGCACCTTGAGAGGCTGAGGCTCGAGGATTGCTTGAACGTGAGAAGTCAAGGCTGCAATGAACTGTGGTCACACCACTGCACTCCACCCTGGACAACAGAGCAGTAATTTAAAATTCTCTCCATTTCCCCACTAAACTCCTTCCAACTGATTAAGAGCAATAATTTAAAATTATTATTACAACAGAGCAATAATTTAAAATCCAACTGATTAAGAGCAATAATTTAAAATTATTATTACAACAGAGCAATAATTTAGAACTCTCCATTTCCCCACTAAACTCCTTCCAACTGATTAAGATCCTGTTCCTTTAAAATTTTACACAAAATTATGATTACAACAGAGCAATAATTTAAAATTCTCTCCACTTCCCCACTAAACGCCTTCCAACTGATTAAGATCCTGTTCCTTCACTACCACCTCTTCCAAATAAAACTTTTTCTCCCTCTGCCTATTCTTTAATTCATTTTTCAGGCAGAACTGTCTAAGCACGACTAGTTGATCTGAAAAAGGTCCTGAATTGAAAACAATCATCTCCAATATTTTCCCAATCTTGAGGTCAAACCAAATTATAGTCCTTGATCTAAAATGTCCCAAAAAGGAAGTGGACTAGAGCAATCTACATGGAATTTTGGAGAGTGCTAAAAAATTACAATGAGGTCCATGAGGTCAATGACCCAAAGGATAATTAGAATGATTTTATCCAAAAAAGACCTGCTTTGTATATGTACAGTTAGCAGCTATTACAACTTCCTCTCACCTTGCCCTCCTCCCTCCCTTTTATCTACCCACTGCCAACACAGCACTTAAATTTTTTTTAAATATTGGAAAGGGACCAAGTTGTGATAATAGTTATAGATTAAAAGTGTTGAAAGATTTATATATCATGCCCTAGACATCGCCAGATCTTTTTTTTTCATGTCATATGGGTAATGTGCTGACCCTGTAACAAGGTTTGAGGGTGGCACATCTCACACATGCCTGTGAACGAACACTCAATCATCACACTAATGAACTACAAAAGGACCCCTCAAAATATTTCTCTAAGAATCTGTTTTTGCTGCACAAAATAATGTCATTCATCTCCCTTAAAGAGTGAAAACATAAACTGGCATAATTTCTATCATGAAAATCCACACCCTCTTGACTCACACAACCAGCACAAAATAGGAATAAAGTAGACAGTGCAGTTAAGATTGGGAGACAAAATGAGGAGTTGGTATCAAGAAAAAAACTAGAGTAAGGGCATTTGCAATTAAGAACCAAAAATTCAATCCCTCCTTTACAAAATTATAGTCTCACCTCAAAAAAACAAAAAGTGGAAGGAGAATGAAATCCATTTAGGTTAGTCAACTTTTTGGTTGTTTGAAAGCACATGTAACTTTCAAACCTGAAATAAAAATTTCCAGGCCCCACCTGCCTGAAAATTCTTTTGTAAGTTTGGAATGGACCTTGGGAATTGGTATGTTTACTTAAAAAGTTCCCCGGGGACTCTGATCATCAGTCAGGTCAGAAGGGCTACACACCTTTTTAAGAAGGGCTCTCTTCCACCTTTACTGACACCCTAGCCGTCCATAGAATTTTATCCAAGTTCTTATAAATATGCCTGTCAATCAAATGCATGAGTTATCTCAGCCAACCCTTTGTGTTCTTCCCCCACCCTGGGTAGCATCTCATTTTCGGTCCGCTCCTCCTAACATAAGTCTTCCTTTCTCCTCTCCACCCCTGTAGTAGCCAAGTAGTAAGCGGAAAGGTAAAACAAAGGGGAACGATCATTTGAATGCCGAAAATCCTGTTAGTTTCAACAGACAGGAGGAAACAACTCATTCAAGATCCCTCTAACACACAGTGGACTGGAAACGGAACAAAACGCTCCCGAGGGTGTTCCGTGAAGCAGGGTTGAGGGGAAGTTACACACACAAGAGCTCTCGGACCGAGGGGACGGAGCAAGGTTCTGAAAGAGGAAACTCGAAAGCAGGACAAGTGGAGGCGCGGGCGAGCGGGCCCACGCCGGCATCGCCGGCCGCTTATGACACTCGACACCTCAGCCTTCACCCGGGTTGCTAAGAAACAAAAAGGCACCACGTTCCCTGCAATTCCTCCCGGGCCCGGCGGAGACGACAGGGGCCTCCGGGGCCTGAGGAAGCCGCAGGGAACGAACCGCCTGGCCACTGCCCCGGCGGCGCGAAAGCCAGATAGAGCGGGAGTTCGGGCTGAGGAACCGGGCGCTGGGAGCGGGCCCCGAGACTCGGGAGGAGGGCGGCCCCGGGCTCTGAGAGGCGGGGAACGGGACTTCGGGGGCCAGTGACTCTCGGGCAGGCCGCAGCGGCCTCAGTGCCCGCCAGGAGGCAGCCGGGGTTCCCGAGTCGGAGGTCGGGCCTAAACGACCACCGGGCTCTGCAAGGGGGAAGGGGCGTCTACTCACACGTGCTGACAGGCCGCAGTCCGTACGGGCGTTTTGAGCACCTCCTGACAGACTGGGCAGTAGAAATCATCCTCGGTGTAGGAAGTGGCCGCGGAGAGCTCTTCGGCCATGGCGGGAGGCTGGGGGAACAAGGCGATGGCGATGGCTGCAGCGGCCGAGGTGACGGTGGCGGCCCAGAGCCCGACTCCCAGCGAGAATCCGGAGGGGGGAGGGGATCGCGTCAGGATGCGACCCGCGCCAGGAAGGGGGCGGGGCCCTGGGCAGGGCAGGGCGAACGCAAAGACGCGACTGCCGCTCGCGCAGGGCCAGAGGCGGCCCCCTCACAGGCTCCTCTCACAGCGGGCTGGATGGGGGCGGTGCTTGGCGGGAGGCCGGGCTCCAAGTATGCGGGGAGCCCGCCCCGCTCGTCCCTCACCCGGTCCACAGGCCGCGGCCTCACGCCCCAGGCCACGCCGTTACCGGGCTCCGGCCTCCAGCTGACGCTCCGCCCTCAGCTATAGTCTCCTCCTGCGGCCTCCCTTTTCACCGCTTTTCCGTCACTTCTCATTCAGACCCCGAGCCCGACTTAAGCGGCTTCCTCCCCGCCTCTTTCTCGTCCCCGGCCGCTCCTCACCCCGCCCCTTTCTCCTCCCCCCGCCGCTCCCCGCCCGGCCTCCCGGCATCCCCGCCCCTCCACGCCTCAGCTTTGGAGACCTTTCCTTAGGAGCCCCCGAGAGGCGCTGTGGACTGAGCTGCTTTACCTTCGCGTGTTAGTAGAGAGGCGGCCCTGCAGTTTTCTCGGGCTTCCTGTCTGGCCGTCGCTATCTTCGCAGCCGAGGCCCCGGGGCAAATGGAGGGCAGCGTACGCTGTGCTCATCTGCCCCAATCTGGCTCATGGTGCACCGGGATCCCACCGCCCCCGCCAGCAGCTCTCCAGTGGCATCGTTCTGCCTGCAGCCTACACAGCCGTCACCGAACGCGGGAGCACCGGGGCAGACGGGGCGGGGTGGGGAGCGCGGCCTCCCTACGGCACGTGGCGTCTTCCGCGGGTTGTGACAAAAGCAGCTGGGCGTCCGCAGTGTTACCTGCGTTTCCCCTCCCCGCCTCCCTAGACCCGGAACCCCAGTCACCTCTTGTGCCAAATACATTGGGCTTTTCAGGAAGTTTTCCTCAATATTCAAGATTTAGTCCTTACTATTTGCCCTGCCAGAATGTCTTCATCTTCTCAAGATGTGGTATAAACAAATATTTTTGGGGGGAATTCTTTGGGAGCAGGATTAAAGTTTCCTTGAGAGGTTGTCCACTTTCTCCCTTAACACAGCGTGACAGATGCTTAAATGCAGTCGCAGATGCAGTCTTCTACCCACACCTCTGGGTTTTTTTTTCTCTTTTTTAGCTTTGAAGAGAAATGTATGGACGTGGATTTTCACCAAGGTTACTCACTAATTTAATTGTTTTTATTTATTTTATTTATTTATTTATTTATTTATTTTTTTTGAGACGGAGTCTCGCTCTGTTGCCAGGCTGGAGTGAAGTGGCGCTATCTCCGCTCACTGTAAACTCCGCCTCCAGGGTTCAAGCCAGTCTCCTCCCTCAGCTCCCGAGTAGCTGGGACCATAGCCGTGTGCCACCAGGACCCGCTAATATTGTATTTTTATATACACCTTTGAGAGGCCAAGGTGGGGGTGTCACTTGAGATCAGAAGTTTGAGACTAGCCTGGACAACATGATGAAACCCCGTCTCTACTAAAAATACAAAAAATTAGCTGGGCATGGTGGCGCGTGCCTGTAATCCCAGCTACTCAGGAGGCTGAGGCAGGAGAATTGCCTGAACCCAGGAGGCGGAGGTTGCGGTGAGCCGAGATCGCGCCATTGCGCTCCAGCCTGGGTAACAAGAGCGAAACTCCGTCTCAAAAAAAAAAAAAGAAAAGAAAAAAAAGAATTAGCCGGGCATGATGATGCGCGCCAATAATCACAGCTACTTGAGCCTGAGGCACGAGAATCGCTTGAATCTGGGAGGTGGAGGTTGCAGTGAGCCGCGATCGTGCCACTGCACTCCAGCCTGGGCAATAGAACAAGACTCAGTCTCCAAAAAAAAAAAAAAAAAAAGAGGGAGAGAGAAAAGATACATCTCTAAGGTGGGATCACAATGACGTGAAAGAAGCTAAGGAAAATCTGGAACATTATACAGCATAT